CTGGTCAGACGAGGAACCCACAGATCAAGCCTGGTCCTTACAAAGAGCAACCCAAGACCAAACATGAGCTTGATTTGGCACAAACATCCATGCTTTTTTGGCAAAATAATAATAATAATAATAATAATAATAATAATAATAATCTTTAGTTATCTTTATTTTTAATCTTCCTACGGACATTAGACTAGCACCATCTCTAATGGTATTCCGCAAAAAGGTGAAGACCTGGATGTTTGTGCAGGCGTTTGAGTAATTTAGTACAATCTGGTAATGGAACATAGGAATGGAACAATAGACGACGAACCTGGACTACGCTTGGATGATGAGAAGATTGGGTACGGTTGTTTTTTGTAATAACTGTGCATTGTAATTGCTTATTGGTAATTTATGGATAATGTGTTAAGTCAATTGTTATATGTTGTATGGAACCACTGCTGTTTCTACTGTTTCTACTGTTTGTGAACCGCTGTGAGTTGCCTTCGGGCTTGAGATACAGCGGTATATAAGCAAAGTAAATAAATAAAATAAATAAATATTTATACCCCTCCACCAACTCCCTGATGGGGTCTCAGAGTGATTTATATGAGGCCAAGCCCAAACAACAAATTACAACAAAGTAAAACCAAATACACAAACTGAAAATGCGAACAATAAACAACATCATAATTACATAAAACATGTGAATTTAGTCCTTTTGATCCCGTTGCTGCTATTCAAACCCTGCTTTCTGGTTTCGCTACAAGAAACTTTGACATCTCCACTGCAGAATGAATGCAGTTTGACCCCACTTGAAATGCCATGGCTCAATGCTATGGGATCCTGGGAGATGTAGTTTGACAAGGCATTTAGCTTTCTCTGACAAAAGGGCTGGTGCCTCCCCAAACTACAACTCCCAGGATCCCAGAGCATTGAGTCATGGCAGTTCAAGTGGTGCCAAACTGCATTTATTCCACAGTGTAGATCTGGGGTCCTCAAACATTAAAACTTATGAACCTGCTAGGGCTTTAAGATCGTCCGGGGAGGCCCTGCTCTCGAGCCCACCTGTGTCACAAATACGTTTGGTGGGGACGAGAGACAGGACCTTTTCAATGGTGGCCCCTCAGCTATGGAACAGCCTTCCTAGGGACATTAGATCGGCCCCCTCCCTCTTGACATTCCGGAAAAGAGTCAAGACCTGGCTGTTTGGGCAAGTATTTGAAAATGCAGTGTAAAAGACATAGGAACTTGGAACGACTGGACAACAAGATAGATCATGTTTTTAATTAGGAGACGCAAATGTTTTATGTTTTTATTACTTTTGTTTCGTTGTATACTATGTAGACCACATCACTGTGTACGAACCCACACGATCTCTTCAATCATCTGGAGAGGCCCTGCTTGCGCTCCTGCCTCCATCGCAAGTGCGATTGGTTGGGACGAGGGACAGGGCCTTCTTGGTGGTGGCCCTTCGACTCTGGAACTCACTCCCCAGGGACATCAGACATGCCCCAACGCTGGTAGTCTTTAGGAGGAGCCTGAAAACGTGGTTGTTCCAGTGTGCCTTTCCAGAATAAGGAAACTCCCAGCAATATGTCCCTAAATGCACTTTAATATTGATTTAAGGTTGTCTGTGCACCCTCATCTTTCTCTGAAAACCCTATTTTAATTTGTCTTACCTTGTTCATGCCCAGCACTCTGTGATTTTTAATTTGAATTATTACATTTGGCCCGGCCATAGGTTTTTAAATGCTGTAAGTTGCGATGTTATTGTTATTGCTTATTGTGTATTTTCTGTTGAGTTTATTTTAACTGTTTTGTATTGATTGTTGTTATTGCTTTTGTTTATTGTATGTGCTGTGGGCCTGGCCTCATGTAAGCTGCACCGAGTCCCTCAGGATGGTAGTGGGGTACAAATAAAGTATTATTATTATTATTATTATTATTATTATTATTATTATTATTATAAATGTTTTATGATGTTCTTGGGCATCAAATCATTGCCTCTGTAAACTGCCCTGAGTCGCCTGAGGGCTGAGAAGGGTGATATACAAAAATAGTAAATAGATAAATGAATAAAAGCAGAGAGCCAGTTTATGATCCCTGAAACTGTTGGATGCCCACATTATAGGCTGTTGTTGTTGTTGTTGTTGTTGTGTACCTTTGAGTTATTTCAGACTCAGGGTGACCCTAAGGCGACCCCCTCAGAATTTCCAAAGGCAATTGGCCTTTGTCTTCCTCTGAGGCTGAGAGAGTGAGACTCCCCTAAAGTCACCCAGTGGGTACAGAGCCACAGGTTGAGGTTCAAACCCCACTAATCAAGGTGGCCAATTGCAACATTTACACTTGCCTCAAACAGACAAGAGTTCTTTCTCTCACCCTGGACATCATTCCATAGATATATAAATCCCACTTGCCTACTTTCCAACAGACCTCACAACCTCTGAGGATGTCTCCCATAGATGTGGGCGAAACATCAGGAGAGAATGCCTTTGGAGCATGGCTAGATGGCCCGGAAAACTCATAGCAAACCAGGGTCCTTCCACACAGTCCTATATCCCAGAATATCAAGGCAGAAAATCCCACATGATCTGCTTTGAACTGGGATATATGGCAGTGTGGACTCAGATAACCCAGTTCAAAGCAGATCATGTGGGATTTTCTGCCTTGATATTCTGAAATATCGGGCTCTGTGGAAGGGTCCCAGTTTGCTACCGGGCAAAATTCAAAGTGCTGGCTTTAGCCCATAAAGCCCTAAATGGTTCTGACCCGGCTTATCTATCCGAACGTATCTCCCCTTACGAACCTTCCAGGAACTTAAGATCATCTGGGGAGGCCCTGCTCTCGATCCCGCCTGCCTCACAAGTGCGTTTAGCGAGGACAGGAGACAGGGCCTTCTCAGTGGTGGCCCCTCAGCTGTGGAACATCCTTCCCAGGGATATTAGATCGGCCCCCTCCCTCCTGACCTTTTGGAAAAGAGTGAAAACCTGGCTCTTCGAGCAAGCTTTTGGATCCACAGTGTAATCATATAAACACAACACTATGAAACTGCAAACATGGAATGGCTAAATGATGCAAAGGACAAGGAGATGAACTGGAAGATATTAATTATTATAGTTTTAATTGATTTTAATATGGAATTGATTTTTATATGAGTTTTACTATGCACTTTTAACTCTTTAATTGATTTATATATGTTGTGGCAATTAATTGTTGCCAGTTTGTATGCCTTCAGGCTGAGAAGGGTGGGGTAGAAGTGTGGTAAATAAATCAATAAGTATATAAATAAATGATTTCAGCCATGAAAGCCTTCAACAACACTCTCCCACACTTTATGAATTCCTTCCCTCTCTGTTTCCTATCTCCCTTTCTTTCTCCCTTTTTCTTCTCTTCCTTCCCTCTGTTTCCTACCAACTTTTCTGTCTTCCTTGTCTCCTTCCCTCTCTTTTTCCTACCTCCTTTCCTTTCTTAATCTTTTTAGCTTGATTGTACTATTAACATCTTCTTCAAGGATTGCCCGAAAGGCTAGAAAAGGGAGAGGTTTTAAAAGGTTGGACTAAATTAAACTTAGGCGAACTTAGGTGTTTTGAACTCCAGTTCCCACAATTCCCAATAGCCTTAGGCCACTTCCCTTTCCTTTTCCCTTTCATTTTCTGCTTAAGTGGCTGAGGGGGGAATGGAAGGGGCCTGAGGCTGTTAGGAATTGTGGGAGTTGAAGTCCAAAACAACTCGAGGGCCCAAGTTTGCCCATGCCTGCTCTAGATCTCCATTCATCCCTCTTGGGACCAAGGATTTGAACTTGAAAAGCCATCCTATCCATATAGTGCAGTATTTCTCAACCTGGGGGTTGGGACCCCTGCCAGGGGGGGGGGAGTCGCGAGAGGGTGTTGAGGGGTCACCAAAGACCATCGCAAAACATAGTATTTTCTGTTAGTTCATGAGCAGGCATGTAGCTGGGGGGGGGGCTTAAGGGGCTTAACCCCCCCCCTGAAATTCTCAGGGTGGTCCGCAAGAAGGCCTTACTGGTACATTATTTAAACTGTTATGTTTATTCATATCATGATCTGATCATCATGTTCAATATATCCCATATGCAGGGGGGTATTGGGGTAACGATACAAAAGGTTTGCTAGGGTACATCCTCAGCCCCCCCCCCAATCAAACTCAGCCCCCCCCCCCGAATCAATTTTCTGTTGGTCATGGGGGTTCTGTGTGGAAGTTTGGCCCAATTCTATTGTTGGTGGGGTTCAGAATGCTCTTTGATTGTAGGTGAACTATAAATCCCAGCAACTACAAACTTCCAAATGTCAAGGTCTATTTTCCCCAAACTCCACCAGTGTTAACATTTGGGCATACTGAATTTTGGTTCCAAGTTTGGTCCTGATCCATTATTGTTTGGGTCCACAGTTCTCCCTGGATGTAGGTGAACTACAACTCCAAAACTCAAGGTCAATGTCCACCAAACCCTTCCAATATTTTCTGTTGGTCATGGGAGTTGTGCGTGCCAAGTTTGGTTCAATTCTATCATTGGTGGAGCTCAGAATGCTCTTTGATTGTAGGTGAACTATAAATCCCAGCAACTACAAACTTCCAAATGTCAGGGTCTATTTTCCCCAAACTCCACCAGTGTTAACATTTGGGAATATTGAATATTGGTGCCAAGTTTGGTCCAGATCCATCATTGTTTGAGTCCACAGTTCTCCCTGGATGTAAGTGAACTACAACTCCAAAACTCAAGGTCAAAGCCCACCAAACCTTTCCAGTATTTTCTGTTGATCATGGGAGTTGTGCGTGCCAAGTTTGGTTCGATTCTATCATTGGTGGGGTCCAGAATGCTCTTCGATGGTAGGTGAACTATAAATCCCAGCAACTACAACTCCCAAATGACAAAATCAATCCTCTCCAACCCCACCAGTATTCAAATTTGGATGCATCGGGTTATATGTGACAAATTTGGTCCAGTGAATGAAAATACATGCTGCATATCAGATATTTATACTATGATTCATAACAGCAGAAAATTA